TCCAGGTCGATCCCGTACTCCTGCGCAGCAGGGACGAACTCCGCGTGGGGAGCGAGCAACGCGTTCGTCAGACGGAATTTGCGTGCAGGGTTGTCCTCGTGGCGAGCCTTCACCGGGACCAGATCAAAGACGAGCGCTTTCCCGGAGGCGGCGGGGTTGCTGAAGTCCAAGGTGCCGTTCAAGTGTGCGACAACACTTCCCATCACGGCGAACGTCATCTGGTGGACATTGAACCATTCTGCTGTGGCGAGATTGAGGGCAATGAGGGCTGGGTATCCTGCGAGGCGGTTGGTGTCGAAGGGGTCTTCCGGCTTAGTGGAGTTGCTGTTAGGACGGCACTCTCGTCTTTGAATATCACCACCAAGCCAGTTCCAATGTGAGTGCATGAACACATTAGTCAAGTGAAATCATTTGAAGCGTACCTGTGCGCGGACCATCCGCTCTTCTGACATTCCTTCCCACAATACATTGCGATTGCACAACCGGTGCACCGCTTCAGCTTCAGCGACGGCGACTCTTTCTGGCCACAGTAGGAGCAGCATGGGCTGCCTTGAGTGAGAGTGCTCGAGGACGTGGCTAGGTCCTGGGGCCCTGGGGGATGCAACATGGCTGAGACTGGCTGAGAGCGGGAGGTGGTTGTGCTTTCTTCTTGAACTTCTAGACGCTTGCCGCCGAGGTCACATGCCAAGCCTTATGCATAGGCAGGCCGCCGTGTAAGTACTATGTACTGTACCACGACGCTGCAGAGGCAAGCCCGCCACCCTCGTATTGAATGGACCGCCTCCCAGCAGAACTCCATGGCCTGATCTTCTCCGAGGCCTGCTCCGACGGCGGGCACACCGGCCGCTCCCTCACGCTCGTCTCCAAGACCATCCGCGCCATCTCCGCCCCCTACGTCCTGCACTCCGTCGCCCTCTACGGCTCCTCCCAGCTCTCCGCCTTCGCCGCCTTCCTCGCCCAGCGCGATCCCGAGGAGTCCCACATCCGCCACCTCTTCCTCACCGACCGCCGGCGCGTGTGGATGGAGCGCGGGACGGGGGAAGACCAGGCAGCGTGGGTCACGAACCGCATGAAGCAGGAGCAGCACCTCAAGGACTCCATGCGCCGCGCCGACGCGGAGCCCATCGCGCAGATCATGCGCGCCGCTGCGCCGCGCCTCCGCACACTCGCCTTCCTCCTCTTCGACCTCTACGACGAGCATACCCTCCCCGTGCACTTCCCCGTGCTTCGCGAGCTCACGCTGCATGCGTCGTCGCTTGCATGGCGCGGGGCGCCGAGTCTGTCTGCATGCGATACCCTGCGGCGACTGCACGTTATTCAGGACTTCTCGTTCCCCCGCGCGGCGGTGAAGACGATCGTGGGGCTCGCGCCGCGGCTCACGCACCTACGTATCTCCCGGATCACAATCTCGCGCCTCTCGGCGGGCGACCTCCTCGCGGGCCTGCAGAGGATGCTCGGGGAACACGCCGGCCCCGCGGACGCTGCCCAGGCCGCCGCACTGCCGATGTTCCCGTCATCGCTCACACTGTGCATCGTACAGATGGGCCAGCAAGCACGGTACGACAATTTCGGCGTCCTACAGGTACGTCATTCGTCTCAATCACAGCTATGATTAGAACGATAGGCCCTTCGGGACAAACATCATGGACAGCTGTTGAATTCGTGCGGCGATGCGGGGTACACACCTAAACTAGCGTACCCTGCTTCCCGCCACCTCTGAGCGTGAAAGGTGTTCTGTATGATTTTCGACGGGGGTCTATCGATTTGATCACAGCTGTAATCCGCCTCACTGGCATGCACTCATCTCCGCATGATGTACAGATCCTCACCTCGCCGACCGCGTACGAACTGAAGGACATCGCGATGCGAGACACCCGCCGCCGCATCGTCATGCTGCATCCGAAGCTGTGGGACACCGGGGCGTTCGCGAGCTATGAGACGGACATCGAGTACTACGTGGGAGTCAGGATGGACTGGGAGGAGCGTCTCGTCGGGGAAGAGGGCGCGTGGGCACTCGATCCTGCGGGCATCTTCGCTATGAACGGCGCGGACGAGGAATAGCGCACGCACATCGACTTGCCCTGGGAACATAAGATGGATTCTTCATCCTATTACGCAAATGTACATTACGAGCATAAAGAAAGTCTGGCTCACACCCCAATAACGATACCACCCACGCACCCGTTTAGAACGCCACAGCGAACCCGACCGCGGCCAAGCACAGCGCGAGCACAGCAGGCCCAAGTCGCGCATGGACACCGACCGCGCCGTTCTGCCCACTACCGCTAGTGCCGTTCCCCGCCGCGCTGCTGCTCGTCGGCGCCGCGGGTGCAGTCGACACCGTGCTCGTCTGCGTGACCGCAACCGCGCTCGTCGTCCCCTCCGTCGTCGACCCCGCGCCCGCCCCACTCGAGCTCCCCACCGACGCCGTCACTGTCACAGACGCCGCGCTGCTCGCCGACGATCCCGAAGCGCTCGCACTAGACGCACTCGCTGTTGCGCTCGCACTAACGCTCGCCGTCCCGCTCCCGCTCGCCCCAGGGGCGCTCGGGATGCCGAGGTAGCTCGGGGCAGCGACGACCTTGGATGGGTCCACGAGCGCGCCGGTGCCCCACGGGATCGGGGTGCTGCCTGGGGGCGCGCCCGGCTGCGTCGCGTTCGTGGGCGGGGTGGAGGCGCCCGACGCGTCCGCGATCGTGAAGCGCGTCGTCCACTGGCGGTCGGGCACCGCGGGGGAGCTGAACTGGTAGAAGTAGATCGCGGAGTTTGGCGTGACCTGGGCGGGCGGGCACGTTAGCGGTCGTGCGCGGATGGCGGAAGAAAAGCGGATGCAAGGAGCAGTAGGGGGAAAAGGGTAGGGGCGGCTTACCTCGGGACAGGGGTAGCTGAACGTCGTCTTGGACGCGTCCGTGCCGTCAAACGACGTGATCGCTGCAGCACCGGCGTCGCCGTCAGCATCGCCCACACCATCTCGCGCGCGCAGGGACGAGAACGCACTCGTGATGAACACCATGTTGAAGTTGTCGCCCGTCATGAGCTCGACGTCCGTCTGCTTCCACGTCCCGGACGGGTCGGGCGTCCACGAGAACGTGCAGTCGCCGCCCTGCTTGAAGACGTCGCCCGGGCCGGGCGCGGTGGGGACGACCGTGCCGGTGGCGGCGGCGGCGGTGGCGGCGCGCACGAGGCCCTGGCCGGCGAACATGTTGGTGAAGATGGCGTGCAGGCCGCGCATGATGGTGCGGGGGGAGGTGGACTGAGGGCTCTGCATGGCGCGCGGGGCGTTGTCAGTAGCGGCGGGTGAGGGACAGGGGGGGCGCTGCGCGGTGCTCACAGACTAGCAGGGGTATGTTAAGGTTTTGAGTTTGAACGGTGCTCGGGCGAAGAGAGCGTATGGAACAGTAAACTGAGACTGAGAGGAATAGAGAGTGAGGAAGGGAGATGGGAGGGAAGAAAGACCCGCCCCGCGCGACAGATCGCAGGCATATGTATCCGCCGGCAGGCGGCCATAGCGTCCACCTTGTGAAGCACAGCCCCGATGTCATCGCAATGCGCACAAATTCATCAACGACGTGCGCGGGACTTGTATCGTTGCTACTTCTCAATTGATGGCAGACGTCTCCGCGCGGTTCCGACCTGCGAACTCGCGCACTGCCTCACGGGGTACTTCGCATTACGCGCCGCTATAGTGCAGTAGCACTGGCCAGGCTACTTGCATCCAATGCATTCGAAGGCGTTTCTTCACCGCGCGGAGGAGGGATTGAATTGAATATTCGAGCGCACTATGCAGTGTGCACACACTGCCGCTGGCCGTCGGGGCGCACATGCCTTTGGGCGTCGACGTCGGGCAGATGTACAGCTGCAACGCCCGTCGGACTTGAATGCCTAAATGAAATGAGGCCGGGCGTCGGCGCGAATGTCGACAGTGAGCGGCATGCTCATACTGTAGCCACCACTGCGACAAGGTATGATATGCAAGGTCAAAACGTACAAGTCCGAGTTCGCAGCTAACAATCATCCACTCGATGAATCTATGAGCGGCGCAGCATCCTGTCAGCCGAAATTTCCAGAGAATAAGATATAAGTGCGCGCACCTCTGCAGACAACCGTGTCCACTCTGTGAGCGAGCGCATATACTCGTCGCGCGATTCGTCCACGGGAATGTCGGGGTGCCACAGCACGAACGACGAAAACGTCGCCACAGGGGCGAGCACGCGCGCCGGTCCTGCGTCCTGACCTCCAGCGGCGCCCTCGTCCAATGCCTCTTCCGCCTCATCCTCCACCGGTTCTGCAGCGCGCTTCGCTTGCCGCGTTGACCGCCCTGCTCCTTTCGACTTCGCCTTCGCACGCGCCTTCGAGTCCTGCTCCTCCGCGGCCTTAGAAGGCTGTGCGGTGCTCTTGCTCTTGCGGTCGTCGGGCGCGCGCAGGACGACGCCTGCATACCCTTCGGGCAGGGCGACCTCGAGACCGTGCATCGTCCGACCTCGAAACGCAGAGGCGAAGTGACGTGCGCGCGGTTTATCGCTCTCGGCTTCTTGCATGTCTACATCCACGACGGTGGCAGACGAAGTGGAGGGGCCTAGCGATGCAGTGGGCGCAGAGGAGGCGGAGGAGCTCGCCACAAGGGTTGCCTGGGAGTCGGAGATGTCTTGAGATTGGGTGAGATCTCCGTCTGGAGTGTTAGGCTTTATTTCGCGTCCGAAGGTAGGTTCTGGGGCGTCGCGGACGCGGAAGTAAGTGGAGATAGGTGCTGGGCCGGAGTATGCGATGTGGAAGGGCATGAGGTGGGGAGTCGTCGGAGGCAAGGGTCGTTCAGAGGCAGCAATTTTGAGAGCGGCGGCGGAGGCCATGGCGATCTAGTGGGAGACGGGATATTCAGCTGGAGCTCAGAGCGAGAGGCAGAAACGCGTCGATGTCGAGCTCCAGCTACAGCAGCGCGTCTTCCCTCCACTCAACGCGAAACAGCCGGCCCTACAGCATATCAGGCAAGAAAAGGACCAAAATGACGACAGTGGGATTCGAACCCACGCCCTTTCGGACTAGATAAGACAACCGCCTGATTCTAGCGCCTTAGACCGCTCGGCCATATCGCCATATGTGATGGACACATAGATATTTATCAGTCCTGAACCCGTTCTCGCTATCTAGCGTGGCAGATGTGGCCTTATGTTTTCCCAAGTTTGTTTCTGTACGGTCAGGGTGCACTTCGAGTACGCCTCTATACACACAGCGATGACCGCTTCCTCGTAAACGAGGAGGTTACGGTACAGCAGCTTCGAAGCTGGGAACGCGGACGCACTAACACACGAGCTTCCCTTCCGCAAGTGCGCACATAGCCCGGGTCCTGCTGTAGGCATCCTTGACCGTCTCTCCCTCATCCCCTCGCTCATCCTACGTTCAGATTCACGAACGATTACGCCATGCCTCTACAAGATCTTCCCGAGGATGTCCTTCTCGACATCTTCGAACGACTACACGCGTACGACATCCTATCCTTGCGACAGGTAAGTGCGGTCATGATTGCACGTCTTGTGTCCCAATGATTATAGCTATAAGCACAAGCTCATAGCAACGCCGAACTAGACATGTCGGATGCTCGAATTAGCGACACGCGAGCGAGCCGTATGGCACGAAGCGTTGTCAAGACATGCCCGGCAAAGCGGGCTTCCTGTACCTCGTCTTCAAGAAGCGGGGCAGTCCACTTTGTCCACCAACGAACTAGAGAGACTCACCCTGCGGGCTCTACGCTTCTGGTCGAACTGGCAGTCTCCCCAGCCGGCTTCTCATCAGCACCTCAGCATACGGCCCTACAGACCCACTACGCCTGCCCGTGGCGCCCGCAATCTCGCAGTCATCTTCCTACCTGACTGCCCTGGCTACATCCTCGCTTTGACTCTGTACGACGACGTCTCGCATAGCAGGCGGTACTGCTTCGAGCTATGGGACATATCCAGCACTTCCAAGGCCGTGTTTGTAGACGATATCCAAGTAGAAGCCTTGCTCGGTTATGCCGTGAACCGCGTTCATGGCAGCTCTAACGCCATGATTATTACCCGTCGGGACCCAGCCTCACAACAGTCAGCTAACTTTCTCTGATAGCTTGTGTCGGTCTGTGGGTCTACTCACACTTGCGACAGGTGCATGACCGAGGTTTACAAGATCAACCTGCCTCGTACGGAAGGTTGTGTATGCTTCCAGCTAATGAAACATTTCCCTGGCTATAAGAACACCATTGGCCTGCACGGTTCGCGCTTAATTGCCACCGACGCTGAGCAAGACGTTCGTGTGCTCGACGTCAACGCAGGCCGCTTGGAATGTACGCTCAAAGCACCCGTCATGCTCGACGACCCTACTCTACGTTTTTCAGTACGTATCCTTCCCCCACCCTATGCTCCATCGGACGCTCATTATCACACGATGCAGGAACGTCAATGCATGGATGCTGTCATCGTAAACGACTTCCTCCTCAGCTTCTGCAAGCAATACATATACCTCTACCGCCTTCCTCCTCCCCGCCCACACGATACCTCGAATGACCCTCAGGATACCCCGCAACTAGACGCCATCGCATCGTACAAGTGGCGCTGGCGCATCGACACGCTCGTCGCCCAACCACGCCTCTCCCCCTCAAGCCTCGCCCACAGAACCGGTACCCCACTCATCGACATCCTCATCCGCTTCGACACCTGGTTCCCCTGGCCCGTCAACATCCTGCACCACTTCGTGCTCGCGCCCAACCCCGCCTACCACCCCGCCGCCGACCCCACGGCGCTCCCATACCTGCTCGGGGCGCAGGACGGCCCGTTCATGGTGCACGCGCTCCCGTCCCCGCTGCGCATCTTCACGCCCTCGGACGTCGCGCTCGGCGCGCACGGCACCGCTCTCTGGATCGACGCGGCCACGGACGGCGGTGCCGCCGCGCAGGCGGGCGACCACGGCCAGCGCGTCGCGGGGAAGGTGCTCACGCGCGCCCCGCTGCCGGGGCTCCGGGCGCGCGTGCGCCCCGGGGACGATGCGGTGAGTCCGGGGCTGGCGGCGGAGGTGGAGGGCGAAGGAGAGGAGATACAGGAGACGGGGATCGGAGCGGGGGCGGGGGCGGACGGGGTGAGGGAGGCGCCTGGGCCGACGATGCGTGGGGGGACGGCGGTGTCGGTGTTTCAGGCACATGAGGGGGAGGCGAGGTGGAACCGGGTGGCGGTAGACGAGGAGGGCGGGCGGGTGGCGGTTGGGCATGTCGATGGGACGGTGACGGTGATGTCGTACGTGCCGTCATGAACAGTTATTCTGTAGTTGGACAAAGGGGGAGGCTTTCGTGTACTAGAAAACTGGACTTTGCACGGATATTCATAAATGGATTGCATCGGCTCCTTCGACAATGTCTGTGACGAGCTGAACAGTGTTCGTTTGAATAATCATGCGTTTGTCACGGACATGCAAAGGGATATCCACGCTCACCCGGTGGGTCCTCGTGAGGTGATTTCGAGACCAAGCAAAAAGCAGCATAAATATTGAGATCCGTAGATCTACCACTCCGGGAAAGCGTGTCATCCTTGTGCAGGGGCCATGCTAATCTTCTCTGTATCGTTCCAATTTTTTCGTATGTCACCCCGAAGGGGACATTAGTTGTGGCGGTGGCAATGTTAGCGCGAGCCCATCTTGTGCATAACGCTCAAACCCCGGGTCGCAGACAGGCGCCTGTGCAAGGTCACATGTTCGCAACTAGTACGCCATCACAATTTATTCGGAGAGGGGGTTCGTTGGAGGAGAGATTATGGCACGACAGCGCAGCAGACTAGTCCTAACAATGCATACATTTCACAAATCAACAGACATGACATGAGAACAGCCGGGTGTCAGAGCTTCATGCATCACATTCCTGTGGCTCAGCCAGGAACGCCTGAAGTGTGCGTTCGGGGGCGTCCCACTGGGCCTGTGGACAGTAGCCCTGTCAGCGTGCGGCGAGCCGAAAGCAGCGCGTGGACACGTACGAAATGGTTCGTCCCCTTCACGCACAACGACGTGAACTTCCTCATCGCCTTCCCGTCCCTCGCCCCGTCGGCGACCTCCTGGAACAGCAATTGCGCGGCGTACGGGACCTCCCACACCGACTGATCACCCCACACAAAGCGCACTTCGACGTCGCGCCATTCCTCGCCGACTGTGTCTTTCCCATCCTGGGAAAGGAACAGCGCACCTTCGCGCAACGGGCCGTAGATACCGTATGCAACGCAGCCGTGGACCAGCGTCCAGTCCGAGCCGCCCGGGAGGCCGGGCGGGACGTGCACGGTCGCCTCAAAGTCCTCCTTCGTCTGCCGCGCTATAGTCGACGGGGGCGTCTGCAGTGCGTGGCGCCGCTCGAACGTGTCCAGCGTGGGGCCATGTGCGAAGTAGGAAGTGATCCAGTTGGTGAACGCCTGGCCGCGTTCCTCGTATGTGAGCGAGGTGTCGAAGAATGGGTTCCATGGATCCTGGGCCGGGTAAGGATACCCGAGAAGGCAGGAGATAGGGTCTGTACGGTGGAAGTCAGCTACCGAAGAGGTATGTACGGACTTCGATGAAAGATGCATACCGGATAAGACGACCCGTCGAACATACTCGCGAAGGTTTACGGCGCCGACGGGGAACTCCGCAACGTGCTTGAGGAGCGACGTCATCCACGTCGAGCCGAGGGACCACCCTACGAGTACTATGCCGCCGGTCTGGGATATCGCGGGGAGGTTGCGTTCGACGACGAGGCCTTCGATGGAGCGATACAACTCGTACCCGCGATCGCGCATGAATGTCTCAAGTATTTGCTGGTTGGAGCGGATCTGCTCCGCATCGGTGAGCGGCTTGTCGGGCACCGGCGGGAGGAGAGCGCGCTCCTCCGCAGTGTATGGGACCGATCCTGGGTATTCTCGGCGGTTGAGCCCGATGATGCGGACTCCATACGTAGCTGCGAGAAGCTGCAGCTTAGCGAAGGTGCCTGCGAAGTGAAAATCCGAATCAGCGTGATGCAGCCCAGCAGTCTAAAATGCTACACAAACCTGCGTGCCAGACATATCCGTGCACGATGATGAGGGTGGTATAGTCGTCACGACCCACTGGGGCTCCAGAGTCTGAGTGCACGTAGAGGCCGCCGGCGGTTGCCATTGCTCTTCACTGGCAGTGTAACTGTAGCGAAAAAGGTGAGCTGTGCAGTCATGGTGCGCTGGGTGGGCCTCGCCTTATATGTTCGAGCAGGATAGCCAGGGTGTTCTTCCTGACAGCGAAGGCGCACGAACTAGTCCAGGGGATTCCTAACTGCAGGATGATGAAACCTAGTTCCGGCGCCGCGAATGAGGGAGCATACCGTAAAAGGTGCTCACGGCATTGAGAACTTGTTGCCGCAGTGTGACACAAATGTCGTCAGAGCGCAGGAACAAACGGTGAGGTGGTCACACTGATGTGGAGGGCCGGTGTGGCGACAAGCCGGACAAGGTCGACGAAACCACCGAGGTCGCATGTGCTGGGAGCGGCTGAGATGAGAAGAGTTCCCGATTGCTGATGACAGCTTGAATCCTGCGCGCATGCAGGAATTCAGTTCCCTCTAGAGCAGCCAAATCATCACATGAGTTCCCCGACTCGGAGTGATTACGATTCTCGCGCACCTTACACACCGCCTGCAGATGAAATCATACTCCCTGCTTATCCGTCTAATGAACTCACGCACACCGGTACCTGTCTGGTATCGTGCAGGGGCGTTAAGAGTACCGTTAAGGGCGCCTGAAGCGTGACCTGTAAGGAAGATGAGATCCCATGCGGGACGCTGCACCCTGAGCGCTGAGCGGCCAAGACGTGGCTCGAGCAAGGTTTACAGCTAGCTACAGCCTCCATTGGTTCATCGGCGGCCAGGCAACCCGAGGAGGTAGAAGGGGCTACTCACCTCGCGGCGGATGTCGTGGACACAGCAAAGGAAGCTGAAGCATGCAAACGCCCAAACGTTTCAGGCGCGCAGCGGGAAAACTGCCGTTCAGGAACGCTTCCATCTAAGATGGGCTACTGCTTCTGCCCGCAGATGTCAGCGACTGCTAAAACACTTTCCATCTCTAGTGGTATAGGTTCCATACGTGAT